ACATGGGTCAATTTTCACATTGATCCGAACAAAAACAACCCCAATACTGTGTTCCTGCTATACCAGAGGCTGCAGTTTCTACTAGGGCCCTATTTTTTGTGACGGCGCCATCTAGCCAATTCTAATAGCTCATTTTAATGTAATAGCTGGCGTGAACTTGAGTGTGTGAGGCGATGTCAGCAATCTCCATTTAGCCTTAGCTGTGCAAAACAGTTCACTGTGCTGCTGGATTTTGTAAACTAGTATTTGTAATCAAATTATTTTACATTTATTAATGTACTAATAAACACACTAATTTGTACCGCAATTGTTTTACCATTTATTACACTTTGTTAAGTGGGTCAGACATCAGACGTGAAGTGCTGCGGCTAATGAACAAGTCTCGCAAAGAAATGCGGTCCTGAAACTGCAGCCTCAGGTATTGCAGGAATACCCTACTCCAATAAAACAGGCTTATTGAAAACGCACATTCATTCTCTGCCAGCAGGAGGCACTTTTGGAACGGCAGAAATAAAGCGGTTTCCCCTGTAACAGCAGAACACAAAGCCGCTTGTATTCAATGAAAACATCGCCTTTTCAAGTTTAATCGTCACATTAAGTCATATCGCAATTCTGGTCTTTCCATCCCCAAATTTAAGACCTCCTGAAATCATAATTAAGACTTTCTTGTACAATTTAAGACTTTTTATGGCCTAAAAATTGATACAACAAAATTTAAGACTTTTTAAGACCCCGCGGAAACCGTTTTGTTATTCTAAAACTGTATGTTCCTCAATTAAAAAAAAAATTCTTGACTTTTAGCATTTTGATTTATATTAGATTTGGATTATTTTAACATATATTAATGATTGTTTGTTTACTCAAGTAAGTGAGGGCATAAAAGTGAAGAACTTACCCTCTTCCTCTGTAAAAGGTTTTTTCCTCTCCTTCAGGTAGCGGCTCATTTCCCCATTGTGACACATCTCCAGAACCAGGTACACATAATTACTGTCCTCAAAGTAATTGTACAGCTTGTAAATAAGAAAATAAAGAGGATTAGTCAATAGCTACCTTTTGAAAGAAAGTCATTCAGAATAGCAGATTCCTTCAAACATCGCAAAATGCATAATATGCACAACAATGTCATATTCCACAAATGCAGCATAAAATTTAATTAACCAGGAAGGTCCCATTGAGATACAGTTTCTCTTCTACAAGGGAGTCCTGATCAAGATAGGCAGCAGAAAATAAAAATATTATGCACTTGCTGGTTCTTTCTTCAGTCCATATCTATATGACAGTATTGCAGTGCTGCTAGTAAGAAACATAAATGCAAAAATCTGAATCCTACTCATTACTTTACATTTTAAAATTATCAAATCATTTGTAATATCTTACATGATTTTATATTTTCATGTCTGTTAAAGCAATCTGGTTTCCACTATTCTTGTCCCGTGAATTTCGTACTTTCAGTTATTTTTTACTGGATCATGTTTAAAAAAGAAATTATCAAAAATGTCAATCTTTTTCATTTAATAGATTAGTGTCCTAATGTCTTCAATAATATCCCCACAAAGACTAATACTGTTCTAACCCACTAGTTCTTAAAGTATTAAAATGGCTAAAACAACAACAAATCGAAACATTACAAATGTTTTATTATTTCTTATTATTATTCACCCCCATTTTTTTCTTTGAAGAACCAGGGTTCCCACTGTCTTGAAAAACATTGAAAATCATTTTAAATTGTGATTTCTAGAACTGGAAAAGGCAAATTAATTACATTTTATGACTCTTTTTTTTTAAGAATAAATATACATTTTCTAGTCATGCCAAGCCCTAAAACATTTCATTAGCTAGAAATAGTAAAAAAAAAATATTATAATAATAATAAAATAAAAATAACTTTATTCTTTATGAAACTATTTATGTGGAAAATGGGGCCTTGCAGTCAAAAAGACTGAAAAGCACTGCTGTAGCCAATGAAATATCATAAGCAAACACTATAAACATTTCTGGATTCAGTATTTGCTGAGACATTTTAGGATTTTAAAGGGGTCATATGATGCGATGACAATCTGGCGTTTCTGAATCAGCTACTGTTTTGTTATTAGTTTAAGTATTTGCTATTGACTGTTCAAATGCGGAGTTTTGCGCATCGTGTGTGTTCAAATGCAGAGTTTTGCACATCGTGTGTGTGTGTGTGTGTGTGTGTGTGTGCGCGAGCGAGAGAGAGAGAGCGGTGTGTGTGTGTGTGTGTGCGAGCGCGTGAGCGAGAGAGAGAGACGAGTGCTTGCGGTGTTCGGCCAATCACAATGCACTTGGTCAGCTGGCCAATCAGAGCAGACTGCGCTTGTCGGAAGGAGGGACTTTGTAGAAAACTAAGCGTTTGAGAGAGGCGGGGCATAGAGGACCTACAATAATGTACAGTATTTGAAAAATAATGTGTTTTTTTTTTTACATTAAAGCATGTCAACATATTCTGTTACACCAAATACACAAAATAATGATCTTTAAAAAAGCATCATATGACCCCTTTAATGACCAGTATAGTCCTATGCAATTCTTTTTCTACATTTAAAAGTAAAATAAACTGTCAAAAAAAACAGATTCAGATTCATTGGACACTAACATGAGCATCAGTTGTACAGCACCAGTACGTCTGGTGGGTCTGTGATCAGGGTTTTAGACTCACCTCAAGAACCGACGGATGTTTTAACCGACACTGAATCTCCACCTCATTAATGACTCTCTGCACCATGCCAGCTTTGTGCATGGCCTTCTTGTCAATCTGCAAATACACATGGGGCACCGTGAACGGTTTTGAACAGATGCTGTACAGCCACAACCCTGGCACCATGGTTAATTAAACAGCACAAAGTAGGTTCTTACCATTTTGATTGCCACCTCCAAGCCTGTGTTTACAGATTTTGCTCTGTACACGCATGCAAAAGAGCCTTTACCCAACAAGGTGAGAACCTGGAAGTCCTAAAGCATAAAAAGGGATTATTTGCATTAGATTCCAGTAGATCAAATAAGATCATTTCAGGAGCTCGATCTTGCCCCTTTGAGAGTTTCTTCGCCCCTAATCCTCAGAATTAAATCTCCTACCTCGATTGTAAGAGCCACAGATGATGCCAAAATTCTGTCCTCATGTGGATCTTTTGATTTCGTAGTCAAATTGAGCAGGAATGAATTAACCACTTCCAACATGTTTCATGCAGTGTTTCGATCACGGATTAAACGACACAAAAGCAGCCCGTTGCACACTGTCTGCACCCTTTGTTGACGCATCACTAGTTACCTGCATCTGTTCATCACTCTCGCGCTCTCCTCCCGCGACTCTACCTGACTCTGACGCTACCCATAGTCGCCTAGCAACCGTCTCCATGCTCCTAATTCCCAAAACACTTTTGCTGCACTGAAATATACCGCAGAAGGCTGAACAGAAGGCGAGGTCCGGACGGTAGTTTAACCGGCTGTCAGTATGATTTAACGTAACGTTACTGCTTACATTTTGTGAACTGAAGTTTCGTCTTTGTTTAACATCACGTTTCCCAAACATAAAGCAAGCTTGAGTAAATACGTACAAGGGCTTATTTTAGCTGTTTTGGGAACTTGAAATATACATACAACCTAATAATAGAATTAAATAGTCTGTCGGGCTGCATGGCTCTCGAGCTAACGCTGCTTACCTCAATTTTGTCACCGATTGAGACACTCATTTTCACTTCATAACCTCTTCAGTCCGACGATTCGCTAATTCTATCCAAGATATCCTTATTTTTCCGTAGACGTGAGATGTTTTGACTTGAGCATGATGTATACAAATGCATTTAGTCTGTATATTTGTATTCCCCTCCAAAATGTTTGTCTTTCCTCCATTTTGAAAAAGTCCGCCCGTTAGAACGCGTAATGACGTAACCGACGTCGCTGCGCAAACTGACCAATCAGTGATCAGATCACAGTATGACACGGAACAAGTCTTACTTACTACGCTGATATCACGTTTACTGTTTATTTCAAGAATAATTCACATTTAAAGTGATATGGTCTTGTTTATCATTGCAACACTGGCGTCACTATAATTAATAACATAACAGTTCCTGTCAAGGCAGGGATTCGCAAACCGTTTTGTCAGACTGAAATTAAATATTTCAATAATTTAGCAGCACAGTCACATATGCATGGTTCTTTGAAGTCAGTTGGGAAAGTTTAGGAAACCCCGTGTTAAGTTATCCATTTAAAAATGTTTTGTGATTCATCGATTTCTTAAATTAATATAATGTATTTGAATGAAAAATTACACTGGATCTCCCCTATTACCTGCCTGTATTTACAAAATAAATAAAAGTCCTTTAAGTATGGAGACAGATCAGCCTCAAAAAGAACACATTTGCAAAACAAAATTCCCGATCATGGAACACTGCACAGTACAAGCACAGCGCTGAGCTTCTTGAGTCTGTTCAGTAGCGTTTTGATTGGTGGATTAAAAGCTCACCGCGAATGGCTGAACGGAACATCCTCCAAAAAAAGATATTTATGAATCTTAACCTGCCGGGAAGGTCTCAAAAATACCGCACACAAATTCAAAGCAGTCCGCGCATGTGTGATGATTTGCAAATGCAGATTCAACGATCCATAAATACATGTAGCATCATTCATAAATGTGTGATGGAAATTAATTAAAGAACTTGATATATACATATTTGTGCATGCATGTGCAAAACATTTTACATTTATTTAGGTAAGATGCATTTGGGGAAATATTTATGCTTTTACTTCTGTATTTATGAATTGTGTTTTGAATTTACGAATCGGATTTTGTAAATGTAAATTGTGCTGTGCGTTCATGAATTTTGTTTTGCAAATGTGTTATTTTTGAGGCTGATCTGTCTCCATATATAAGTGCTTCTAACACTTCTACAAACCCTCCTGTTCTTGTCCAGATTTTGAGACTAATATAAAATTTCTCACGTAAAGTGGCACAATAATTTAGATGGCAACAAACACATTCAGTCATAAAGGCATGTTTTAATATTTGTGATCATCAAACCTCAATACTAGATATGGGACTGCATGAAAACTGGGGAAAAAAGGAATGACCTGCTCAAAACATTCTACTTTCATATGACACTACGGAGCTGAAAGCATTGCAATGTCAACAATAGGAGTGTACCTATATCTAAGCACCCATAAATTCAAATTACTAAAATAATATTTACAGGCTCTAGACAACACATCCTTTGGAAATGTATATATTAAATACAAATATAAACCATATATTTATATGTATTGCATACATATTTGCTTCTTTTCCCTCAATCTTAACGATTGATCAGACAGTATTTTAATTCATGTTTAATTCAAGTTACCAAGTGATATGATTCACCTCAAGAATGCCTTTGGCTCTCCCAGAATGCATCACATTGTTTTAGGGATAGCTTTTTGTTAAGAGCGGCAGCATCGTTTCAGTTATTGAACTACATCTATTCTATATGATCCTACTGTGGATGTCCAATCCCGGACTGTGTTTCCAATACAGCTGCAACACTTGAAGGACAGCCTGACCCAGTCCCTTAATAGGTACAAGAGAAAACCAACAGAGGAGCAGACGTCTACAAACAGATGCACAAATACAGCCAACTGAGTGGTGGACATAAAGAGAATGGTTCCAGCTATCGGTTCAGTGTAAGTTGAAAAGATTTAATAGTGGCTTAAGTGAGAATGACAGCAGAATTAGATGGTTGAGTGAGGAAGAGCTCAGTCCACCTCCATCTCTCCAGACGGAGGCTTCATCTGCTGATTGCCTTTGCTGTCTGCGCCTTGCTGTGCTGCGGGGCCGTTATGTGCCCCATTGTTTTTGTCTCCCTCTTCTACAGGCTCCTCGGTTTTGGGTTTGGGCCGGTTGAAGACAGGATGGCAAACATCCTCTAACTCCTGCATTTCAACACAAAAACAGAAGGATTAATATGTATATAAATTGCATTTTATTAAATGATGCAGTAGGTTAGAGTGTTGTCAGCCAGTACCACGATATGAGGATTCTTTATGAAGGAACCAGACACAACCTGCCAGTAACATGTTGAGATACTATTTTGTCCCATAATAAAATATACAAGTAAATTGTAGTTTCCTTCATTTAAAAAAAATAAATTGATTATTACTTTAGAACCATGAGAATCAAAATTTTAACCAGATTTTTGCAGTAAACTTGATTTCATAATAATTAAGCATATTTTCCCTACAAATTGTCATTACCGAAATGTAAAATACAATTTAAAAAATCAAATTTCCACTACTTTAATGCAAAATACATACAATAAATATTTTATTTAATTTAATTACAATACAACACATAACTAGACAGAGTCTGTCAAAATAAAAGTCTTTTAAAGGTGGGGTAAGCGATTTTTCAAAAACGCTTTAGAAAACTGATTCGGGCTGACTAGCAAAACAAACTTGTAGCCAATCAGCAGTAAGGGGCGTGTCTACTCATGATGGGCAGGAGAGCGTTCAGTGCACAGGACGGACATTAGCCGAGCGACAGAAAGATAGAGATGGCGGATAAAAAAACAAAAGAGGAAAACGTCTGCGGAACAAGAAGGCTTAAGTCGAGAAGTAGGACCCGTGTAAATATCGGATGAGCTTTCCAGCGCTGGAGCGAAATCAAGGAGCGGAAGGCCTGCGATCGGACACCGAGGTTGCTTTGTTTCTTCTCGATCGGTGAGTAACAGAGTGTCTGCTCCGCAACAGCTAAAGTCTGTCTAGTACACTGGACTTTTTTCTTTTTAGGCTTCATTTTCTATATGCAAAATATGTCCTTTTTTTTAAATGTCGCTTGGAGATCATTTTGTGAGATCCACTCTTATTCATTATTTATAAAAGAAACTGGTGTGAACGCTCTAATGACAGGGCAAAATATAATTGTGACTTGAAGCTTGACTGTATTTTTACTGGAAAAGTGCACAAACCTGAATCTTCTGAATGATCTCTGCTACTTTGACTGCTGGGTCTTGAGCAACTGTAAGTTTGCTCTGGGCGTTCATCTTTGTATTCATCCAGCCTAAAGCTTCACACACACTCTTCTCAACAACACTCATCTCCTCGGCGCTCAAGTGCTGGTAGCGCTCATCCTGCTGGTCAAATGGCAGACATGACCACAGCATTTAATGCATCTCAGCTTCCACTCAATTCAGTTTAAAGTGTACCTCAGCATTACATTTTCTTTAAGTGCATCAATACTGATGAGGAACAATACGATGAATATGATGACTGTAATGAGTAAATGCAATTAATGTAAAATGCTCTTAAGAATAAATAAGCCAATCTGAACACTGCTAAATATTAGGATGCCGTTACATACACAATAATTCTGATAAAGATATAACATTGTAATAATGAATTAAATGGCCAAAACAACTGATATAAAGTCAAACACTTGAAACATTTTTTAAGTGAATGTGTTCCCCAAATAGTGGGAGACATAACAAGGTACATTAAAAAACTTGTAGATGAAAAAAGTGTAAGTTACGAAAGTAATTAGGCCAGTAGATCTGTGCAAAGGAGTTATCCCAAATAAAACCAATTAATGCCTATAAAAAAGGAGGTTGCACATCACTCCAAGGCTTATAAAAACACAACAGGCAAGAACTGTGCTTTAGTTGCAAAAACAAAAGCTTTTTCAAATCATTTTCTATTAACAGAACTATACAATATCAAAAAAGCTACATTGCCATTAAGCATTACAGCTTACCTTCTGTTTATACATGTCCACCGCCTTCATAAAAAGCTGAATTTTCTTGCCTAGCTCATCGAACGCTCTGGGTCGACCCTCATGCTCTCTGTACCGTTCTTCAATGGGCTCACCAAACTTCTACAAAAGACAAAGACCACATCCTGCTGTAACACACATTCATGCAGTTTTTCATTGGATGAACTGACCCATGTGAAAAAGAACTACACTTCAGCATAGTTTTAAAAAGACTACTTGTTACAGAAATAATATGAAGTTCATAATAATAATATGAGTTCATTTGCAAAAACCGATAAACGCCACTTTAAAAAAAAGGACCTGATTTCCATGCATTATTCTCCAAATATAGCGCGGCCTGAACCCTAAACACGTTTTGTCAAAAAATCTGGTTTTGTCCACTTTCAAGGCATCACGAGTTCACGTTTTACTGCAGAAGCCGATAAGTCCATTTTAGCGAATCAGCGCACTGTATTCAGGTCAGGTGACAAGGCTACTTTCACTTTGAAAAGACGTGCTAGCTGAGAGGAGTTTGGTCAAAGTTATCGGTTTTTGCAAAAAAAATTTGGTTTTGCTCTTCATATACTTTAGGGGAATTTACATAAGTGCAAACTGAATGTAATGTTTTCAGACATTTAATTAGATGTTAACTGAAATTAAATAAAAAAAATGTATTATAGATTAAATTTATATTTTTCTTTGACCCACTTAAGTAGGACCTAAGTACATCTTTATATGTAATTTCATAATTCTATTGTCTTAGAAATATGGGTAAAGTGCACTACCGAATGTATTGACAAGCATTTATGACATTTTTATGTCATGTATTTAAATATATTTATAATTGTACAATTGTAATGATGTCACTTTGAAAAGACGTGCTAGCTGAGAGGAGTTTGGTCAAAGTTATCGGTTTTTGCCAAAAAAATTTGGTTTTGCTCTTCATATACTTTAGGGGAATTTACATAAGTGCAAACTGAATGTAATGTTTTCAGACATTTAATTGGATGTTAACTGAAATTAAATTAAAAAAAATGTATTATAGATTAAATTTATATTTTTCTTTGACCCACTTAAGTAGGACCTAAGTACATCTTTATATGTAATTTCATAATTCTATTGTCTTAGAAATATGGGTAAAGTGCACTACCGAATGTATTGACAAGCATTTATGACATTTTTATGTCATGTATTTAAATATATTTATAATTGTACAATTGTAATGATGGTCTAAATATATTTAGACCACCTTAATTAGACTTTCAACCAGTATAACAGAAAAAGTTTTTGCTCATCCTAGCAAATGTAATACATTTTTCCATTCTCTTTGGTCAGCCACACCTACCTAAAACGGCTCACGTTCTGCATGTACAGTTTTTAAAGATAAACTACAAGTACACATTCACTTGCGATTAAAAATGTAGTTTTTTAGAAAAATAAAAAAAATAATATAACAGATGTATATATTAATGTACAAATGTATAAACAGTGCAAAATGTCACAACTGTAATACACATGCATGACCTGAATACTTAAGCACCTACTTTGAGTTCAGACAGTTTGTCCTGATAGATTTCTTTCTCCTGGTCTTCTCCTTCTTCATACAGCCAGATCTCTGTGTCCTCAAGCATTATAGTGAGTCGGTTACTTTCCTGCAAAGGAAGAACATCAACACACATACATAGTAAGTCTCACCTGAGCTTCATTTTGCTAGTATTTATAATGTTCTGTTCCATGTATAAATGATTTGAGATTTTAAACTGCAGAAGTGGTGTAGATTATACAGAAACAAAGCATAAGCTCCCTAGTGTCTTGACTGAGAACAACGGCTCTGGGTAAACAAAGAGATTATGTGCTCACATCTTCAGTGACATATCTCTCATAGATGCCACACAGTTTGTCTCGCACTTCGTAAACATACTCCTCCACAGCATTTTTAGCATCGTTTCTCTCCTTCTCCAGCTTGTCTTGTATGATCATTTTTTTCTGGAAGAGAAAATGCAGTGAATATATATTTACAAACTGGATCATTGTAACTTTTCTCCCTAATAAGCCACAAAAATTCTCAAACGTTATAATTATCCGGATTATAAATGAAACATCAAACATACCCTTTGCTCTAACCTAAACATAAATAACTGTGCTCGACTGTACTGAATGTGCATTTGTAGTGTGCTTCCAATCTTAAAAGTGTATTTAAAAATATATGTATTTGCAAGATTACAATTTCATTAGATTACACAGTGTCTTCAACATTGTAATAATGTCAAATTTAATTTTTAAAAGTAAAAAATGTGAAATTACAAGAACATTTTAAATCATTATGTTGTAGTAATCATATTTTGATGTGTTGTCTAACATACTAAAGCTCATGTAAAGTACTTTTTATAATTTTATAATTATAATTTTACCAGTAGTGTTATTCAATGTTACATTTAAAATATATTTAAAGTACTAAATGTGTATTTACAAATATATTTGAATTGTCACACTTTATTTTAAGGTCCAATTCTCACTATTAACTATTAACTATGACTTTTGGCTCAATAAACTCCTAATTTGCTGCTTGTTAACAGTTAGTAAGGTAGTTGTTAAATTTAGGTATGGGCTAGAATTAGTGATCGACCGATATTGATTTTTTTTTATAACCGATACCAATTATTTGCATGTTTATTTGTCTGATAACCGATATGCATAACCGATATTTATTTACTGTTATAAAGTAAATAAATGACTGAGTGAAGTAAGAACATACTTCAGTTTTGGTTTTTCCTCTTTTCAGTCATCTTTTTTTTTGTGTTGAAAATTAGCAGTCTTTCATGTTAAATTTAATCTTCATATTACAACAATAAAAAACATTTTATTTATAAAAAGCATCAACAGCAACAACACTAATATTAACAATAAGCAAAATAAATGTAGAATGTCTAATGTTTTCAAATGGAGAAAATAAATAAAGGGCAGGAGTCATATCAACTTCATTTTAAACTACAATTTTAGTAGGTTTATAAGCTATTTAATAGCTACAGGGTCAAGAATAATTCACTGGATAATGTTAATTCACTGAATAATATTCTCTGGAATATTGGAATATAACAAACCAAACATCGTATTTTATTGCATTTCTCAACTGGAATGTTATATCAGAATTATTAATAATGTTTTTGTCCTTCTAGATTATGAAATGCCTGCTGAGAGTGTGGTTTATCTATGCAGTTACACAGAACTATACTCCAACTGCGATCGCTCGCGGAGATAATAAATAATTAATTTCCATAGAGTTGTATTTATTTAGATGTTTATTAGAGAAATAATGGTTATATAGTAAATGTTAATACAATTTAGGGTGTGAATATTGTTAAAAGTTACATGCAGTGGCCGTGCTGGAGCATTTCCTGAGCATCAATTCATGAGACTAACGATGAGCATAGACAACAGAGAGAGGATTCAATTCAGTGCTTTTATTTCCAACATGTGCTCATTCATGGCTGCATATTATTTAATTCAGGCAAAGTTACGTCTTTATTGAGACAGGACTTGACGGATTATTTTACATGACTCCGTGAGTTGGTCTCTATTTCTTAGAGCCAAACTGCATAAACTACATATCAGGCATTTATATAATGCATCTAATTTGTGCATAAATGGCTGTTATGTTAAATAAAGTTTACTAACTTATTAGAGAAATAATGGTTATATAGTAAATGTTAATACAATTTAGGGTGTGAATATTGTTAAAAGTTACATGCAGTGGCCGTGCTGGAGCATTTCCTGAGCATCAATTCATGAGACTAACGATGAGCATAGACAACAGAGAGAGGATTCAATTCAGTGCTTTTATTTCCAACATGTGCTCATTCATGGCTGCATATTATTTAATTCAGGCAAAGTTACGTCTTTATTGAGACAGGACTTGACGGATTATTTTACATGACTCCGTGAGTTGGTCTCTATTTCTTAGAGCCAAGCTGCATAAACTGCATATCAGGCATTTACAGTATGTAATGCATCTAATTTGTGCATACAGTGGGTACGGAAAGTATTCAGACCCCCTTAAATTTTTCACTCTTTGTTAAATTGCAGCCATTTGCTGTTATGTTCAATAAAGTTTACTAACTACAGCAAATCAAGTACCTGCACGACGTTGTCCCCTCAGATGCGCTGCAATGGCGATAATGCGTGCAATTCGTGTTTATCGGTGAATCCGATATTACAAAACCGTTATCCGATTATGGTAAAATTAGGGATGCACGATATATCGGCCACCATATCGGTATCGGCCCATATCGGCTCATTTTTTCGTTAACAGTGAGAATTGGTCCTTAAATAAAGTGTTACTATTTAAATACAGTATATATGTTGAAACTATATTATGAAACCTCTGTCAGGTGACCTTAGTCAAACAGTTAAGTCACTTCAGAGGAGTTTTTTTAAATAAAAATTACAAAGACAAACATTTTCTGCTTTGGAATCATGTGCATAGATGAATTTTGCACAATAAGACCAGGAACGTACAGTATTAAGAAATATTGTCAACTAACAAAAATACAATAGCATAAAGCTATAATGCCAAATTCATGCTTGATTGAAGAGCTTCAAAGAGTGAGATTACACAGTATTTGTTTTTGGGGGTTTTTTAAGCTAAAGGATGAGCTAGTAAGTGTAGGACATGACTCTAATGCCTAGAGCTGTGCTGTCGCTTCACTGGCGAAATGATCTACTAATATCTTTTCCCTGAGGACTGAATTGAGCTCTGTCATGGATATTTAGGGTAAATGCTAAATATATATGATTTTCATATGATTTTAGCAACATGCAGGGTACAAGATACAGTTGGTTCAGCTGGCAAGAGTTATAAACAGTAGCTACCAAGAGACAAATATAGTGAGTACATATAACTAGGGATGCACCGATACCGGGCCCGATACTGAGCTTCTGTACTCGTACTCGTACTCGTTAAAATGCCCCGATACCAAAAGCTGACACCACACAGCATGTGATAAGCGCCATATTCAGACAAAGAAACACCAACAACAGAACAACAGACAGCAGAATGGAGTTAAGGATGTCTACTACGAAGTATATGTATGCAATGAATATAACGTTAAACATTCAGTATTAACGCCTGTATAGCTGATGTGCGCGAGCTGATAAACAAACCACGCTGAGTGGATTGAGCGCGCGGCGGCACAGATGCGCGAGCTTGTCGAGTGAATATATCTTTCTCACAGACATCACTGGAAAGTTTGTAGTTCGGTCGGATATGTCAAAAACAAGTAAGTAAATCAATGCACAAGTTACTTAACGGTAGGGAGAGAGAGAGAGAGCGCGCGCACTTCTGTTGTGTGATCTTTGATGTTCACTCACTTAGCACACGCATCATTTGGATTAAAACTAAATCGTACAAATAAGACCATCTATGGGGGCAGTCACTATAAACATCATTTATTTTCAACCTTAGGCATACACGACTTTCTGGAGAAAGTGAATCTAGCCTCTGTGAAATGCGCTAGGCTGTACTTGTCCCTCTCATTCTGCACCAGTACAAATACGTGCCAAAAATAAAAGTATCAGTATTGGGCGAGTACTGGAAAAAGTGGTATCGGTGCATCCTACATATAACCAAAATGAATTCTGCCTAAAGCGCAGAAAATGGGGCTCTAATTTGAGATGAGAATCAAAAATGCACAGAGTGGAACAAGAGGGCTGGCTTTGAACTGAGCTGAGTTAAATTAATCGCACCACTCCACATGTTCTCAAAAGAACTGAAGCAGACTGAAAATGAATTATGACTTACTTCATAATCAACAAAGTTGTTGAGCACATCTTGATCCAGCTGTCGGGTGGTGTTGGCCCAAATGGGCAGATCAACACTCTTCACTTTTGTATTGGCTTTGCTACTGCTTGCAACTTGATCTTGTTTATCACCATCCTTTAACAAAATAAGAAATTTGTAAAGATATAAGCACAAATCGGTCTGTTTCACCATTACTTTAGATAACTCCAGATAGCTCTAGAATCTAGCATGCATGACATGACCCCTTCAAAGTAGAAATAAACAGCATTTGAGAATATATTTGATTATATTGCCAAGGTAAATTGTACCTTATTGCCAGAGTTATTCATCTTTTCCTCTTCAGTGGGCTGGTCTCCTTGGCCTTCCTGGTCCACCTGCATTTTATTCTATTAATAAAAGCATAAACACAGCATGAGTGATCTGATCCTGCACCTACACTGTCCACAAAATTTGTTTTAAAAGCTCACAGTGCTGAATATATTTGCTCGTTTTGGAATATTCTTTATAAACGAGGAGCATTGAACAGCTACAGCTGAGAGCCATAGAAATCACTACGATGCAGACTTCCTGTCACATTCACAAAACAAAAACAATACTTTGAAATGAATGAAAAAGCATGTAACTGAGCTGAGGTATTCGGCTTTAAAAAATCTTTCATTTGGCTTCATGTATTATGAATTATTAGTTTGTGAAGCCTTGTGCAATAATGTAATCTGTATGGTACTGCATACTAGAATACTACACACTTGTACATATACTAGTATTCAAAGGTTTGTGGTCAGTAAGGTTTTGAAATTAATATTTTTATTCAGCAAGGATGCATTAAATGTATCAAAAATGGCAGTAAGGACATTTATAATGTCACAAAAGATTTCAAAGAAATGCTGTACTTTTGAACTCTCTATTAATCATAAAATCCTGAAAAATATGCATCAGTTTCCATAAAAATATTAATAATAGCATTGATAATATTATTATTTCCACACCATTGACAATAATATTATATTAATAATTCAGCTTTGCCATCAGAGGAATAAATTGGATTTTAAAATATTTATTTTATACAGTTTTATACAGTATTTATAAAGTTATTTTTATATTTCACATAATTACTGTTTTTACTGTTTTTTTAATCAAATAAATGCAACCTTGATGAGCCTAAGATACTTTCAAAAACATTTAAAAACTTACCAATCTCAAACTTTTAAATAATAGTGTATTATATTTTTTTTATGAATGCATAAACAATCAGTTATTTGGGAACTTATTTTGTTTCTCATTATTATGTAAAAAAAAAATCTAAATACTTGAAACTACATTTTTAGACAAATATAAATTGCACCTACATATATACAACTTGCATTACTTTAATACAGCGCACAGTATATGTACTGATTGACTGATTGCTTGATGTCATAATTGTGCACCTGGCCAGTAACTTGCCTTCCAGCATATTTAGATATTTTAGATTTCTTTGGCCTAGTTTAAAAACTGCTGTGCCAAATTACAGCTGTTGATGGCATGTCATAACCCTGGTAAGCTAAATAAAGTAACCCCTAATGCAAGAACGACAATCTTCCTCTTCTAGGACAGAGGTGTCATTTTCAGTGCCAAAAGCAGTGAGCTTAAATTAATGACAGAGTGAAAAGACTTTACAGATTTGAACGCTAATGTTGTGCCTGTGTATCTAATCATGTTTCAAGGAACAAAGAAAGTAATTCAGGTTTGGAACAACATGAAGATGAGCAAGTGATGACAGAATCTTTGGTTGAACTAATCATTTAAATATTTCTCTTGACATCAATGGAATGGCAAAATCCCACAAAACTAGAATTAGATTAATTTGTAATTAAATTAATTTACCCAAAGAATGAATACTTTTTTTGCCAATCAGTGTCTCCTACCTGTTCCTCAGGCCTGCCCTCATTCTGTACAGTAGGTTCTGTTTCCATCTGCACATCCTCTGCCTCTCCTTTCTGCTTCTCTATCAGAGAGGCACTGGACACGCTGAAGATGCCGTGCATGTTCACGCGCACTTTCACCTTGACCTTTGAACTGTCCCCATCAGGCTGCGGCACGACATTCTGTATGGTAAAGCGGCCTGGCCACAACAGAAAAACATGCTAATCAGAACCACAATCAGACAGTAATACTTTAAGCAGGGCTCTAAACCAGTTCAAGGACCGAAAACAAAAAGCAGAAACTAAATCAAATTTAATTGTTCCGAACAGAAATGCTTATTTGAAATGGTCATTAACCGGTTCTGTTGAGTCTTTTAATTTTGCAATCAACCAATCACGAATTCAAATAGTACGTCCAATGCAAATATGATGTTGACGCATCCAACAAGTGAAAAGCCAGCTGTAAATTCATCATAGGTAAGTCGCAATGGCAGTGCCACAGCATTACAGTTTTTCTGAGGATATGGCGCGAACCGTCAAGCATTAGGTCTACATTTAAGTGAAAATTAATGGCAGGTAATATGGAGTTTGTTGTGTGTTTTGAAACCAGCAAAAACTGCAGGATAGTGTAGAACATGGATTCACACAAAGTCACTTCACACACCTGCAGCGCTTCTGTGAACGGAGAAAACAGAATAAAACTATATACATAAAAAGGTATACATAGGCCTATACATAAAATATATTTCACTTAAATCATTAAACGATTAACAAAACAAAAGAAAAATTTTTTTTTTGCTGAATTTCGGTTCATGTGACACGCTCCAAAGTTCATGGAAATGAAACCGAGACAGCAGAAAGCGGCATCCTGCTTGTTTTCTTTATTTGGCAAAAGCTTTACCATTTTGAATGATGTCTTGCTTCCATCGGAGTAACAGTTGAATCTCTTAGAATCCTTGGTTTCCTTAAAGGATTAGTTCACTTCCAGAATAAAAATTTCCTGATATTTACCCATGTCATCCAAGATGTTCATGTCTTTCTTTCTTCAGTCGCAAAGAAATTAAGGTTTTTGAAGATTTTTCTCCATATAATGGACTTCAATGGTGACCAATGGGCTGAAGGTCCAAATTGCAGTTTCAGTGCAGCTTCAAAGGGCTCTACAGGATCCCAGTCGAGGAATAATGGTCTTATCTAGTCAAGCGATCGGTCATTTAAAAAAACAAAAAAAACAAAACCCTTTTATACACTTTTTAACCACAAATGCTTGTCTTGCACTAGCCCGACTTCACGCATGGCGTAGTCACGTTGGAAAGGTCACGCATGACGTAGATGGAAGTACCGACCCAGTGTTTACAAAGCGTACGTGCAAAGAAAGTAAAATGCCCTTTAAGAAGTATATACATTTTTTTTTTTTTTTTTTTTTTTTTAATGCCCGTTCTCGCTGGATAAGACCCTTATTTCTCGGCTGGGATCCTGTAGAGCCCTTTGAAGCTGCACTGAAACTGCAATTTGGACCTCCAACCCGTTGGTCACCATTGAAGTCCATTATAAGGAGAAAAATCCTGGAATGTTCCTCAAAAACCTTAATTTCTTTGCGACTGAAGAAAGAAAGACATGAACATCTTGGATGACATGAGGGTGAGGAAATTATCAGAAATGTTTTATTCTGGAAGTGAACTAATCCTTTAAGGGAAAACAATGCATTGATAATGCCTCACGCACGCACACAACATATTTTTGCAAACTTGACATCGCAGCCTGTTCATTATTAAAATAAAATGCAGTTAAAGAAACATACAAAAAGTTACACTGCTCAATTTAAAATAGTAGTCCGTAGTACAATCTGTGCCATTCAGCATGACCACCGTGCTGTTATTATGACAGTTTTAAAGTAGCAGTCTATGGAAGCCATGGAATAAAAGAATAAAAAAGATCATTTTGAGTTTATATTTCAAAATTCAGACTTTTTTCTCGCAATTCCGAGATTATATCTCACAATTCTGAAGAAAAATCAACTCATCATTCTCTTTTTTTCCCCTCAGTTCAGAATCATGAGTTTACATCCCACACTTCTGGCTTTTTTTACCTCAGAATTGACAAACTGGCAATTGTTGAGTTAAATCGAGTTATAAAGTCCGAATTAGGAGATATAAATTTGCATTTGTGAGCAAAAAGTCAGAATTGTGAGATAAAACAGTTATGGAATGTTATGTAAAATGTTAAAGGTTTAAATAGTAGTCTATTTCATGCTGTATCTGTAGGGCTAATATGTGACCCTGGACCACAAAACCAGTCTTAAGTCACTTGGGTATATTTGTAGCAATAGCCAAAAATAGATTGTATGGGTCAAAATTATCGATTTTTCTTTTATGCCAAAAACATTAGGATATTAAGTAAAGATCATGTTCCATGAAGAAATGTAGTAAATTTCCTACCATAAATAAATTGATACTTAATTTTTGATTAGTAATATGCATTGCTAAGAACTTCATTTGGACAACTTTAAATGCGATTTTTTTGCACCCTCAGATTCCAGATTTTCAAATAGTAGTATCTCGGCAAAATAATGCCCTATCATAACAAACCATAAATCAATGGAAAGCTTTCAGAAAACTTAATTTTGAAAAATTAAACCTTATGACTGGTTTTGTGGTCAAGGGTCACATGTATTCTATTATTCTACATTAATAATCATTATTAGCATATTAAGAGCAATAATCAAAAATATTGATTTCTGGCATAATATAGTATACATAATAATAGCTCTACGCTGTAATACAATCCTAATTTATATATATATTTATTTATTTTTATATACTTTATGTTGGCTATGTACTTATAAATACATGTATACATACACAGAAGGCATGTCAGATGCAGCTTTTGTTCCACCTCTGCAATGTAAAACTGGCTTTTGTTAATGTTGATCAAATTTTATTGGTGAGTTTATAGTATTCTCATTGATAAAAATGCCCCAGGAATTGAATTTTGGGGGAAAATATTGCCCCATAATGCAAAAGTTCATTTCTGACCCTGCCATATGGGAAGTGTATTAGGCCCTCACACACTGACATACATTAGACTCAGTATGGAGAGGGTATATGATGTGATGGGAATTAGAGCTTAGGGGACGTCATGTCTCGGTCCTAATTACCAGGCTGGTAGGTGTATTTTGACACCTCTGTGACACTCCCCTGAGATTAGGCCTGACTCTAACCCACTTCAGTTAGTGTGTTGAAGATATAACAGGTGCTCGGACACAATGGATCACAATGCTGAGGGCATTCTTAATCAAATGAGGCCATGAACAACTATTTAAGGGTCCCCTGGGCTTCGCACCAGAGTGATTAGTCTCATTTTGGTCATAAATTAGGCTAGTGCTGACTAAAACTCAAAGTGAATCATTTCATACTGATTCCTATAGAAGTTTAAATAAAGTCTGGTTTAAGAATGCCATTCCAGAATGCAATCAACATGATACTGAAGTTGCCACACAACACACAGTAATACACACCTATTCTGCTATCCGGATAGGGCAGCTCATTTGGAGAACTATAGAATGCTTCCAGGTCAAAAGGCTCCTTCTTGTGGAAGGTGATGACTTTGGAGAAAGGTGCTGCATGGTTCTTACTATACACCTCACATTCCCTGAAGACGAGAAAACGACAGTTGAAAACAAGTCAGATTTTCATTCTTAAAGTCAACCTGAAATCAAAATTAACAGTTTGTATATATTTATATATGTCACAAAAGGGAAGAAAGACAATCATAATTTCCATTTCATGACAACTTTAAGAACAACATTTTAATTCTTAGTAGACATTACTACAGCTTTTTCTAGAATTATTTATTTATCTATTTATTTATATTTCATTTATTTCATTTTTTCATTAAATTATTAATACTTAAATTAATATGTAATTTAATATTTAATGTATTGTGTTTAAAATATTAAGCATTACAACATTATAATCAGTGGTCGACCGATATTGTTTTTTTGACAGCCGATACCGATATCTTGGAAAGCAGGGTGGCCGATGGCCGATATAAAGACGATATAATTTTATTTATTTTAATTAATATTTTAATTAAATGAAAATGAAAAGTCGATAAAAAAAATTTGTTAAATAAACATACTTATACTTTAGATGACAAAGTATTTTTCACAAATAAATAAATATTTTAATAAAAATATAATTAAAAAGGAAGTAAACACTGTAACCAACAGTGCACATTCTGGGAAGTTTGTGTGCATTAATCATATTTTTTTCAAATAAAGCCAAGGTAACACTCATTTTACATACAGCACACAGTGGAAATTACATGAATATGACAGCGGGCAAATGCATAAATCGCAGCATAATTTGAAATCACGAGTTTAATGTTTGTCGATCGCACGTCTCCAGTGAAGCTGAACTCTCCTCCTGTCCACATTCTATTCGCACAGACCGACCGTCACGCAGAGAACACATGATCATGCAGGATACAAATGCACACTTCACAACATCTCACAACTGGATCTGACTAAGTTTGCAAGGTTTTTGAAATTAGATGTTTTAGACATTCAAAGATCTGTTTAAATGATATAAATGTGTATTTGCTGAATGCTGACGGCAAACAAGAACGTATTATAATGTGTGCCTTTCTATTACTAATAATAAAAAAGCAATCGTTATAATACTTTTTGTATACATTTTAATTTGTTTGTTTAACGTTTGTATCTGATTATTCGACAGACGTATTAGATCATCCATATTAGACAGAACTGAAGGACAACAACGAACAAGAGGGAGAATGTAAGCACTGTGCGTCAAAATAAAAGTCCCGCCTCAAACGCATCGGCCAAACAGGAAAACTTATCTGCCGATGCCGATATTTAAAAAATGCCAAATATCGGATGATATATCGGCCTTGGCGATATATCGGTCGACCACTAAATATAATACTACACTGTACAAAGAGGCAACCTGCAATTGTCTCCTTAAAGAGTTATTTTTGGCTGATTTAAAGGTGCTGTATGTAAGTTTTTGACTCTGCTAAAGCATAAAAATACCATAATATGTTTGCAGTTATTTAAGAAACATGCTAAGTTAACATACTTGTTTATCTGAAAAACAATGCTACTGTCAGTTATTCTCCTTTGAAAATGTGTGTTCTGGGCCGGAATGTCGGTCTCTGTTTTGGTTTGTGAAATCCGCCCACTGCCAGTTTACCTAATTGTATTTCGTCACCTCGGGTTGCCAGTTGGCGGAAAACACAGCGTATTTCATTTCATTCATCGTCAAGTGCACTCGTTCCTGTTGGTGTCGTCAATCTGGCAACCTGGGTGTGCTTCAAGACTGAGGAGGAGGGGCCAGGCGAAAAAAACCCTCTCCAATATTTTGAATTTGGACTGCAATACCTAGTTCAACCACTCGGTGTCAATCCTACATACAGCACCTTTAACCCATGAACATTTATTTTGATGGTATAAATTAATGTATTTATTCAGTGATGCTAAAAATATTTTTGAATATTTTTTCCAGCTACATATAATAAAAATGAATGCAAAACATTTTATCTTTATAAGCCAGCATATTTGTACTTATTGGACACTAATTCCTGTCAATAACACATCTCACATATTTACATTTGAAAAATGAGCATGTGCTATTAAAAATAGGTTAATAGATGGATACATTTATTGTTAAGATTTATATAAAGATAATATAAAACATATAAATTACTCCAACTATGTAAATAAATACACTTGATTTTTTCATTTTCTGAATAAAATGTAAGTGATGCTGCCACAATGCTGAATTGTGTCATTGCTACTATATGTAGCTGCTAAGGTCTTTCCAGTGGTTTTTAGCACATTACTATGCATTTGTTAGGATGATATGGTTGGTTGCTAGGTGCTAGCCTGTTGGTCTTTATTATTTTCTCATGCCTAGATGGCTTGGGTCCCTTCTGCCATGCAAGTCTTTTTATGGCCCACCAGGTGCAAATCAAATTGTGATTGCCAAGAAATGTAATCTCACACCTCTCCGCAATAAACTGCATGATTGGAGGCATCATTCACTGGAACGAGTTATTTGCTGATTCTTGAGGTTGGTGGTTTGTTCAAATCCTAACTTTAAGCGTGTTAAATAGTGATGCTTTGCTTAGTTAGCACTACAAATAAATAATCACTTGGTAATGAGAATACTTAGGACACAATATAATTATTTCAGATATCTGCACTTGCTTCAAACAGGCTAAAAGTTGAAAATGTGAAGGCTCTTACCCGACACTTTCATCTGTCTGAGACTTCCAGCGCAGAGTAATCGGGAAGGGGACTGCGTCTGTGATGGAGAACTCTCGGACTTTGAAGGCTGGAGACAGGATTGCACACTTACCACACACACACACACACACATACACACAAAAAATAAACATTTATGATATACAAGCAAATGTAGTTACATAAGCTGTCTAAATAGGGTATTAGTACAAGGAATCAGAGACAGCATTGCATGCATCACACAGATTTCATCTCGTTTCTACACCTCTCCCACAGAATCCACAAACTCCCCAGGGAACTGGCACACGTATTGTTCAACTGTTCTGTATCACACTCTCACACTGCTCACACTTCTGCTGTTTCTGTGCTGACATCTATAATGCCTGTTATCAAGGCCATTTTAAGTGCTGTAGACAGATTTGTTCAGATTATGGTCTTTTTTAAATAGGGCTTTATGAATTTGATGTCTTTAAGAGTCTGTTTTACCTGTAACGCACATCCGCGTGCTACAGCCTCATCTGCGTTCAGCGTGGTGCTGATGTCTTTACCGAAGAACTTTGAGATTCTCTCCTTTATGGCCGGGATTCTGGTGGCTCCGCCCACCACCTCAATGGCATAGATCTCGTCTCTGCTAAGCTCTGTACCAGGACGAGTGCAAATTAGCAATGTATTTAAATTTTACATATGTTGTGATTGATTTTTTTTTTTGGAGAACTGGGCCATCGACTGCTGCTTACTTGATTGTTCCATGACCGATTTCAGTGGCGCCTCCACTCTCATCAAGAGCTGAGCACACATCTCTTCAAACTGCACCCTGTGTCCAATCACAATGACATGTTTCTGCTCAAACCGTCAATCCAACTATTTTTTATTAAGCATGAAATGCTTCATTTGCATTGATTTAATTTCACAATACACATACTGTTATTTATGAAAGAGGTTACATGAACGTTGAATTAAGTCTAAACACTATGCAAATTTTGGAGCAGAACTTTAAAAAAATAATTGGATTACCTGTTCATTTTCCCATGGACATCGATGTCATTCATGAAGCACTCAATGTTGAGAGGGAGATCAGAAGAGTTTGCACTCATGAGTTTCTTCAGTTTCTCACACTCCTGATAGAGCCTTAGAAGGGCTCTTGGGTTGTCTTTAACATTGAGTTTGAAACGGTTTTTGAAGTCTCCGCAGAAATATTCCACAAGCAACTCGTCAAAGTTGCGTCCGCCCAAATATGGGTCAAATGCTGTAGCCAACACCTGAAACAAAGAAGAGTTTGATAATACCTTTGAAAACAGCTTTGTGAAAGATTAAACATAATACTCTGAAGTAAACATTTCCCATAAAAATATAGGGATAACACAGACCTTCAATTTCCCCTTGTTAAAGGAAGCAATGGAGACTTGATAAGATGAGTGCCCAATGTCAACAAACACGACATTACGGGGTTTCTCCTCAGGGTTTGGCAAGTCCTGTTTATAGATGCCATAGGCCAAGGCCACTGCAACAAGAATAACAACAAATAACAACTTGTGAAAGGCCTTGTGGACTGTAATAATAGACAGAGATAAGAGTACTCCTAAAAGTCCAATCCAATTATATAATTATCCAATTAACATTACAAAAATTCTATACATCCTGTTAACAATGTTAACATAAATGGAACCCAAATAAAAGAATGGTCATTCACATGGTCATTATCACTAAAAAAAATTATAAAATTAGTACATCACCACAATTTAACTAAATTAAAATGAGGGAACAAATCAGCACAACATGATTTAACTGATTCAATGATTTAAATAATACAAGGGAACAAAATAACAATTGGTCAATTTGTTTTAATTTGTTCCCTTTTATGGTTAAATGGCTTTTGGTTAAATTGAACTAAACGAGTGAATTAATAAAACATGTTCACCAATTAACAGATTCTTAATTTGTGACCACAATATCTATTTGTAATTTTTTATGATAATTTTTTGCCTTTTTATGATAATAACTGGCTGATTGTACATTATTCCTTACTTACTTTAACTGGTTTCAGGTAATAGATTAATGAGTTATTACGAGCATTTAAATATATTTAGCCTCTAATTGATAACCTGTTATAAATCTGTACACTAGGTGAGTTAAAAAGAAAAACATGCATACGAGTCGATATTCTATTGATTTGTGCTTATTGGTGAAAGAGCAATTATGTAAAAATACATTTCCCAAATGACAACAATTACTGCAATTAAAATTGAGCAAAATAGTAATTTTTGTTATCATTATACAGTAAGTTAACTAAAACTAAAACAGGACAAGTTGACTAAATATGATAAAAACTCAAAGTTACATTTGACACAGGACTAAGACTAAGACTACATTTAAAAAATAGCTGACAAAATTAACACTACTGCAAACAGTTACTCTGTTAAAGATGTTGAAGATGACAAACATCATGTTGAAAATAAGAAAATATCATTACACAAGAAATTCATGATTCATGAATCATGTTTTTGTCAGTCATCACACATTAAATTTGCTTCTGCTACACCCTCACATTTTCATCTAGATCGGCAACCTTAGAAGGGGTAATTACATTAGTCATGACAGCAATAATGAGAGAGAATGTATTCATATTATTTATAATGTGTATTCATTTTATTCAGTCTTTAAGAAATGTTGAAGTCCCTAACACACGTACAATATGCAAATCACCCTTCACGGTAAATCTACATAATAGTCACGCAGCCTGTTTTATTCAGTTAAAAATTGGTTTTGTGTAGTTTATTTTTCAACAACATGCACACTGTTAAAAAGTGATACCTCGCAATTGCTACCTTAAAGGGACAGTTCACTCAAAAATGAAAATTTGCTGTTAAAGGTGGGGTAAGCCATTTTTCAAAAACGCTTTAGAAAACTGATTCGGGCCGACTAGCAAAACAAACTTGTAGCCAATCAGCAGTAAGGGTACAGCAGTGTGTCTACTCATGATGTGGAGGAGAGAGCGTTCAGTCTGAGCCAAGCGACAGAAAGATAGAGATGACGGATAAAAAACAAAAGAGGAAAACGTCTGCGGAACAAAAGAAGGCTTAGGGCAATAAGGCAAGAAGTAAATGTGTAAATATCGGATCAGCTTTCCAGCACTGGAGAGACTCAAGGAGCGGAAGGCCTGCCATCGGACGCCGAGGTTGCTTTGTTTCTTCTCAATACACTCTTAAAAATAAAGGTGCTTCAAAAGGTTCTTCAAGCGATGCCATAGGAGAACCATTTTTGGTTCCACAAAGAACCATTCAGTCAAAGGTTCGCCTGCCATCGGACGCCGAGGTTGCTTTGTTTCTTCTCGATAGGTGAGTGTCTATCGAGAGTCACCGTGTCTGCGCCGCAACAGATAAAGTCTGTCTAGTACACTGGACGCGACAAAGCGACCGTTGAAAATCATTTGAAATTTGTGTCAATACGTCATTAATAGAACGCAGCAGCAGTTTTATGTCGGGATTTGTCATGTCGTGCCTTGCCGCATCCAGTGTAGACCATAGATATGTGTATATATATATATATATGGTGTAGACAGCATCACTGATTATGAGCTCTATAGTATTTTGTCGCGCCGCACCACTCGCGTCTGGTGTAGACACGGTGTAACATTGGTTTTGCTTTGTTTCACAGAACTAATTGTTGCCTGGGTTGCGTACGTATGTGTGGGGCAGAGCTATCAAAATAGGGGCAAGACTCTTTTGGGGAAGAGCGTGTTTGTTTTGGTGATTTCAAATGTCAACATTGGCTACCAGAAATCCCTTACCCCACCTTTAATTTACTCACCTTCAGCTCACCTTTTTACATAAACCACAAGAAACCATGAAAGTTTCATTTCGGCGCTTCATTCAAGTTCTCGGTCCACACATGCTTGTATCAGCAGCTTGTCTTTGGCCCAAGTCTGAACTGTTTCCTCAATTCAGTTCTTGTTGGAGGAACTGAAGCTCTGAATGAGTTGGCAAAAATCGGCATCATACGATCATATTATGTCAGAATTTTGGCTCATTTTGAGTCACAGTGATGGTCGGAAAACGTCTGAAAGTGAGTTTTGATTGAGCAACTTGTAGATCTGTGCTGTTTGAGCCGCAAACTGTTTCAGATGGTTTAGTCCGATTTAGTGAACTGGGTTCACTAAAAAGAACCAACTGTTCACAAACTGAACATCTGAGGCTATGGATTTCAGGTAGTTATGTTGTAAATAATGTTCTGTTTCTTGAACAGACTGATCGTTTTGCTTCATCATGAGACCTCAATATATCGTCACAAGCCACGGTGTTACCTGTACATGATTTTATTTTTTACTCTCAAGGGACGGTAGCCGTTGACTTGCATTTAAGAATCACCAAGGACCATGGTTTCAGATAAAAATCTGCTTTACTGTTCTACTGAAGAAAAAAGTCACCTACATGTAAATTAACATCAAATTTTCATTTTTGGGTGAACTATCCCTTTAAAGAGCTATTTCTACCTGATTTAATGCGTAAACATTAGTTTTGTTGGTATAAATCGATGTATTTTTGACTATAAATAAAACCAATTAATTTAGATGCTACCATTTTTAGGTAACCATTTTCTGTTTAGTTAGATAATGACAACATTTAAAAAAAAAATTGTAACACTTTATTTTAGAGTCTCTTAACTAGTTGCTTATTAGCATGCATATTACTAGAATTAAGCTACTAATTAAGCACATAAATGCCTTATTCTACATGACCTTATTCTACATCCCTAATCCTACCCAATACCTCAACTTAACAACTACCTTTCTAACAATTAATAAGCAGCAAATTAGGAATTTATTGAGGGAAAAGTCGTAGTTAATAGTGAATAAGTGTTCCCTATTCTAAAGTGTTACCAAAAAAATCAACAGCTTAATTTTGCTGACCTGCTGTTGTGTCATTAATCAGCCTCAAGCAGTTCAGCCCAGCAATCTGAGTTGCGTCCATCAGGGATCTCCTTTCTACATCCGTAAAAAAGCTGGGGACCTAGAGAAAACCCAAACATGTCAAAGAGATGACAGGCATGTCAAGAGCACTAGCAGAAATACGCTAGGATCAATGATTTAGAAGCGCTCACAGATATCACACAGTCCACCACAGGCTTCTTCAAGGCATGCTCAGAAGTTTCTTTCAGCTTGGTGAGCAACATGGCAGTCATCTGCTCGATGGTAAACACCTTGTCCTCATTCAGATAACGTACCTATGACAATGCAATGTGTGTGTAAAATGATCTCTAGCATGTTTAACATTCTAGAACTTTCACACTATTGCTTTTTGCAATATTCTTGAAAACACTGTTAAAAAACACAACTACTCATGTTTTGTCTATGCATTCTTTGCATTTTTTTTGTGTCCAAAACATGATTTTTGGGACAGTGGTCTACAATAGCAAAATAGTTTTCAAAGTGGTGGCAAAACACATTATAGCACCTTTATTCCAGTGCTGCCATTGTCCAGTTTGTGAAGGTTGTAAGGCAACTTGGATTTTTCCCCTTGAACAAATTGGTCATCAACCGCTCGACCGTGAAACTTCTTAAAGCCGTGAACCGTGTTCTTAAAGTTCGTTATGATCTGTAGGAGGCATGTTTATTGGTTAATATACCACCTAATTTTATGATTAGCAAATACTGTAAAGGTTTAAGAAATTAGAAAGCATGAAATGAACAGCATTTCGTACCTGACTTTTAGCAGCATTTCCAATGGTCCGGTTTTTAGAGGCCAGAGAAATGCATGCTCTGTTGGAAAAGATGACATGTTCATAAATGTATCATACATTGTGACAACACCCTCCATATTGTATTTCCAATCTGATGCATTCTAGAACCTGGATGAGCAGGGCGTGGATCAGCACCTTGGACAGCGTCTTCACTAGTGCTTATCTCAAGTCTTCCTGAGTCGCAAACCATGTTATGGTGTGAAATAAGCTTTTGAGATATGAAAAGGCATATCAAGACTGCTAGAAGCTGGAGGTCTTTAATATGATTTCTTATAAGAAGCAGCAAGGTTTCTGCATTTCAGAACCACTAGAATTATAATAGTGGAAATAATTAGTGGAATTAAACAGGCTTCAAACTAAAAAAAATCAAACTTGTTTCAATTCATTTGGATTAATCTGTTCGACATGTTCAATCAGTGTTTGGGTGCAACCTCGTGCTTCTTCTATTTTTTTCACAAAATCTGTGTTTTCTATAGTAGCAATCAATACAAGCCAACATCAAATACAATAATGTGTGAAATATTAATTCACTTGAATAGAATGAGACCACGGGATGTTTCAAACGCTTTTTCAGTTCCATCTATTGGATTGTCACTACCAGACAGAAAATGTTTAATATTGACAGATAGATAGATAGACAGACAAACAGACAGACAGACAGACAGACAGACAGACGATAGATAGATAGATAGATAGATAGATAGATAGATAGATAGATAGATAGATAGATAGATAGAACTGTTTCTCTTATTTCTAACTCATTTTACAATGATCTATGTAATTTGAGATAATTTTCTAAAAATTACCTCAAAAACAATTCCTTTACAATTGTGAGCTTGCTGAACTCATAACAGGTAAAACACATAAAAGAAGACCTTAAATGATAATTCACCCCAAAATTCTGTCACCATTTAATCATCCTCATCTTTTCAAAACTGTATGACTTACTTTCTTCTGTGGAACATAAAAGATCATTTGAGAAATGTTTCAATGGTGACCAAAACCAACATGGTTACCATCCCATCATTCTTCAAAATGTCTTGTGTTCTACAGAAGAAAGACACGCAGCTTTGGAAATCTGTCCTTTGAATGCAATATAAGTCGCTTTGGATAAAAGCATGTAAAGAAAATAACATAGCTATTGCCTGATTTGTTGATGTTGCTGACAAAAAATAGGAACACAGCTGTAAAACTTTATCTTTTCCTTCCGTCAGGATGTAGAAACAATTTTTTAAATATTTTTATTATGCATATATATATATATATATATATATATTAATCAACATGAAGTATTGAGTTATGGTGTGAAGGCTGATGTTTTTTGTCATATAATGTCATAATTTTAATAAAATGAAAAGAAAATCAAATGAAAGCTACATTTGTGTAAAGGACATTCTAGTCATCATCTCTGATTAATTTCAGTGCAATTGTTGCTATATTAAACCCGATGGCAGGTAAAGTTGTGGGACATACCTTGCGAAAATTAACCATGGTTTTATTACAGTAAAAGTGTCGTAACCATGTTTTTTTGGCGTATCGATTACCATTTGTATAACCACAGCTTTACAACAATGGTTAAACTATGGTCAGTGTTGCAAAACCATGGTTAATTTGTGGTTACCATGGTTTAACTATAGTGACAGTTATGGTGTGAAGGCTGATGTTTTTTGTCATATAATGTCATAATTTTAATAAAATGAAAAGAAAATCAAATGAAAGCTACATTTGTGTAAAGGACATTCTAGTCATCATCTCTGATTAATTTCAGTGCAATTGTTGCTATATTAAACCCGATGGCAGGTAAAGTTGTGGGACATACCTTGCGAAAATTAACCATGGTTTTATTACAGTAAAAGTGTCGTAACCATGTTTTTTTGGCGTATCGATTACCATTTGTATAACCACAGCTTTACAACAATGGTTAAACTATGGTCAGTGTTGCAAAACCATGGTTAATTTGTGGTTACCATGGTTTAACTATAGTGACCATGTTTGTTTGGATTTATATGTAGTAAAACCATGGTTAATTGTCCTATGTCCCATATTTCAAGAATCAGTGTGATCTGTAACTAGTGTTGCAGGAGAAGCTGAGGATGCGCTAACAACAGAATTCGACTCGACTAAGCACCGCAGTGACCTCCTACAACACCTCAATTCTGATTTCCTTTTAGGACGATGGTGCAAAATTTTCCCCAAAAAGATCTAGTTTTCCAGCATCTTAATTTTGATTGCATGTGTCGCCGCGCCCAAAACGAGAGAGTGTGGATTTGTCTCTAGACAACCGTCTCGTGGACTCGGCGCATGCAGGGTGTCGGATTATACCGTTCACGTGCCATGCTCGCGCGAGACATGCAGTTTTGAGTTCGCCTAACACTTGCGAAAAGCCGTACAAACAGCCGTTCTGATCCATTTCACGAGCGACTGAGCGTGTGGATGACAGGTGGGAATTACGACGAGCATGTCTCTTATTCACATGACTAAGAAATCCAGGCGTTCTCGTGATAATAAGCCAATTGGACAAATAAAGACACAAAAGAGCATTTCTCTCAGACACGTTTCAGGGCGTAGACAACACTGACCAGACTCGCGCAGCGGTTAAACTGATGAGATACATGCAAAATGGAGATGCGCGAGGGGCTTAGCATCTTTCGGACAAAACTGACAGTCGCAGGAGGAAAATGCACTGGCAACAGCAAACGTTGCGTAACAACACACAGCATCATTTTACAGGGCTGGCAATGCTATACTTACGGAGTGCATCTGTCACTGTATTCATTTGCAATGGTTTCAATGCCGCCGCTCCTGGCAACAGCGATGTAACAGTTCTGGAAACCCACATCAATTCCCACCACAGACATGTTCAGTCCTTATTTCTTTATTCTTAACACCTCCGGTCCAGTTTTAACAGTGCAGCTGGGTGAGAACACAACACCCCTATTCTACAGTATGTGCTGAGTGCGCTTGTAACCGAGCTAGAAGTATTACTCGCTATTATTGTAAATCGGGCTTTAGATAGATAATAGATAATTCTTCCTCCCTAATCCTAGCAGAGAACGCTTCTACTGCATTCTTGCAGCCTCCACGGATATTGTCAGCCGGCAATATGGGTAAACCTGCGCATTTGTCAAGAGACTGGAACTCAGCCAAGCCCCGCCCACGGCTGGTTCTGATTGGCTACTGGACGCTAACCAGCAGTTCGATTGGCGCAGCGTCTAGATAAGGACGAAGAATCTAGAAGCTGGCGACAGCTCGCATTTTTACGTCACAGGGAATGAGCGTGCAGTTCAGCGACCTGTGAGAGAGTCAGGGGGCCATCCCTGCACAAATACATAGCCAGCAATTACAGCAATAATTAAAGGACATTATTAACACCGCCATCTTTATCATCTACATTTTTTAATTTTAATTCTACTTTATCTATATTGATCTTCTTTGCGTGTATGTGTGTATAATATAAATATATAAATATATATATGTATGTGTGTGTTTGTTTGTATGTATGTGTGCAGGGGCGTAGATTACGCGGGGGACGCGGGGGACATGTTCCCCCCCCACTTTTTATAAAAAGTAAATTCGTCCCCCGCACTTTTTTATTGGAGAGTTGTGTTCACGACATGTTGAGGTTTTAATGGAGCGATGTATATAAATGCAGAATGATTTAAAATTAAAAGAGAAGATAGTCTACACATGACGTTCACGTTTCCATGGCAATCAGTCACTCTAAAAGACTAAATAAAATAAATAAATAAAATAAAATATCTGACTATAATTGAGGGGAGATTATTATTTTCCTGTTAAAAGAAGACGTTGCCAAATGGGTTTATTATTTGGTGATTAAAATAAATAAATAAATAAAATGATATATTTAACACTGTAAACTTTATGATCGAAAATATTTGATTATAACTGAAGGGAGATCATTATTTTCATATTAAAGAAAGGCGTTGTGGGTTTATGAATCAATTTTTATTTTATTATTTTTATAAACTGTTTTTCATTATGGGGTCAAATGAATGTGTTAATACGTTTTATTAAATATGCTTATCCTTATCAGGAGTGCATTTTTTTGTGTTTGTTTGTTTTGCAGTTTAGCTGTGCCTCATCACAATTCTTGCCTGTAAGAATCAGATTATCATTTCAGATGTTGAAAGCCTGGTGAGAGCAAACGGGTCTCTCAATTAAAGGGGTCATATGATGCTTTTTTAAAGATCATTATTTTGTGTATTTGGTGTAACAGAATATGTTGACATGCTTTAATGTTCAAAAAACACATTATTTGTCAAATACTGTACATTATTGTAGGTCCTCTATGCCCCGCCTCTCTCAAACGCTTCGTTTTCTACAAAGTCCCTCCTTCTGACAGACAGAACACAGTGAGTGAGTACAAAGAAAAACAAATGAGCTTAAAAAGTATTTAGCTTCCTAATTGATGGTCACTGTTCACATCACTGTCCTATTAGCCTACTTTATTTATAAATAAGTACATAAATAAATAATCAAATATGTTTTATATATTTATATAATTGTATACGTATGAAAAAAATATATTTATTTGTCAATCACTGTCTATTTCGACATAACAAACATTAAAAAGATTATGTGTTAATAGTAACGGAAAATACAGTTCAAGCTGGACTTTTATTATGAAAAGTAAACTTTACTTACCATAACCGGAAATTCCTTATGTTGTCATCCGTCGAGAGGCTGGAATCAGGAAGTGGACATTTAATGTACTATTTTGATCGAGCTCGTCGCTGTTCAGCTATCTAATTTACAAGTTTAAAATGGGGCTTTTTGGAAAAACGCAAGAGAAACCACCGAAGGACCTTGTAAGTGAAACATGGACTCGGGAGTTAAGGGTTTTTATTAAATGTTCCATTGTAAATAATAGCAGGCCTATAAATAGCTCGCTTGTCATAGGCCCTACTTGTTGGTAACATGTTGTATTACGTAATGCCATTTTAAACGAGGTACTTTAAAAAGTTTGGTTTAATTCTGTGGTCTGTACGTGGGTTGTTATGAGAACTAACATCATAAAATCGCCTTTACACGTATGTAGGTACATTTCAATCTCAAGCTGTCTTCATCTCTTTTCTGTAGATCAATGAATGGTCTCTCAAAATCAGAAAAGAAATGAGGGTTATTGACAGACAGATTCGAGGTGAGGTCATATTACACCGGCAATTGTTATTTTGACAAATTGCAGTCTGTTGTAATAATGTAATATCATTTTAAATGAAATTCACTTAGGTAACTGTACTTGACAGAAGTTGTAATTGTGTATATTTTATATTTTTTCCAAAGATATTCAGAGAGAGGAGGAGAAGGTGAAGAGATCGATCAAAGATGCTGCAAAGAAGGGGCAGAAAGATGTCTGCATCATCCTCGCCAAAGAGATGATTCACTCAAAGAAAGCTATCAGCAAGCTGTACGCCTCTAAAGCCCAAATGAACTCTGTGCTGCTCAGTATGAAGAATCAGTTATGTGAGTATAGTTTTTATTTGCAGACCCAACAATGTGCTCTGTAAGTTCACAAATGGCATGGATTCATTAAATTAATTCATTAAAAAAAAAAACACTCTTCCACTGATCCACTTTTCACACAAGAACCTTTTTGATTCTTGAATTTAATTGGCTGCAGTCAAAAGTATGTTACAGAAAAAAAGGGGAACCAATGTGATGAAAAGAACGACATTTTAAGTTATGCTTTGGGTTTGTATAGCTGCCACAGGAAATAATGTGCAAGTTGTGGGAAAAGGCTGGAGTACACCACGGCGTTTAAATCTGAACACACTAGGCATCATACACTTGCCGACAAATGATTACATTTAACTCAAAATCTTCACACTGGCTATAACTCTTGGCAACTACTGTCATCTTGTCCGGACTGTTGTTTGGGCCAAAGTATTAAAATTAGAGGTCGACCGATAATGGATTTTATCGATACCGATAGCTAGGTTGGACCACACTAGCCAATAACCGATTAATCAACTGATAGTTTTTAAAATGGATACTCACTAAACAGGCAAAGGTTCAAGGTTTGTGTCGATTAGGGCTGATCGATTAATTGCATTTGCGATAATATCGCGATATGAGAAACCGCGATTTTTCAATCGCAGAGGCTGCGATTACACGGTCACGTGACACGCGAGAGTAAAGAGGTGTGTTCGACTTGAAGATCAGATCGGTGTATGACATCAAAGTACGGCGAGAGAAAGCATAAGGAGACGTCCCTGCTCTTATAGCTCTCGCAGTACTTTGATGACACACACCCATCGGTCTAGCAGCGCTGCTTCAAGTCGAGCGCGGGCCATCAGCAGAAAAAGAAAAGAAATAAAACCGTAAACAGCCAAAGGATGTAACTTAGAATGGGTGATGGATCGGTTTGTGAAAGCGAAGAGAAAAGCCATAGATGAAGTCGCACAGACCCAGGCAGGTGCTGGTCATTCAAAAGCTAAATGCAGAAAATATGACGAGGCATATCTTGCTCTCGGCTTCACTCACTGAGTCTATACCGGATGCTACAGTTGTGTGTCGTGCCGCAAAAGCTCTACTGTACACTGGATGCGACAAAGCGAAAGCATTTGAACTTTGTCAGTACGTCATAAATAGAACAAGGCAATAGTTTAATGTCGCGCCGCATCCAGTGTACACAGCGTCACTGATTATAATGGGTTCTACTGTATTTTGCCGCTCGCGTCCGGTGTAGACACAGTGTTTAATGTCGTTGGTGAGGAGGAAAGCCTGTGTGTGTCCTATGCCTTAGTGTTTCCCAACCGGGGTGCCGTGTAAAGTAAAAAAAAAAATTTGTTTAATATTTTTAAATTGCTAAAATGTTCGTAAAAGCAGCTATTATATAATATCCATTTCTGATGTCGCCAATAATTAGAGATGCACTGAAATTCCGGCTGCCGAAAATGAGTTCACCGCTCAGGTTTCACTTTCAGGTGGTGTGACGCTCTCCGTATTATCCCGCTCTATGTGTGCGCTCCACTCAGTCGCTCCACTCATATAGCATTCATGCTCATCGGAACAGCAAAGTCCACTCAAAAATCAAGCTGACAGGAAACATGGATGTAGTACAGTATTGTTTCTGTCTGCAATAGCCCTGCTGTGCTGTAACAAGGTGTGGTAAATGGGCAACTCTGGTAACACTGCCCTCTCATTCATTGATCTGCTAACCGTTATGCTCACGTGTCCTCTGATAATAATAGCTATCTAGGATTAAACATTATTTGGATAATTGGTAAAAAAAAAAAATCTCTTAATATCCCTAATGTGTGTTAGACTTACCCGAAAAACTAAAAAGCTATTTATTTCATTTGTAGGCCTATCGTGATTTTTAAAAAATTTGTGCTATCATTAGTCATTTCTTTATTTGTTCTTATTTTATTATTAACTGCATAGCCTCATTGTCATTTTTTATTCAATTCAAAGTTTTAAATCAAGCTATCTCGTGCTACTGAAACACAATTACCCCACTGTAAAATAAAAACAACACTGAGTGAAAAAAAATCGCAATTAGATTATTTTCCAAAATCGTTCAGCCCTAGTGTCGATGAGTTTGAAGTTGAAGCAAAACGGAAAAAGGAAGTGCGATCTGTACTGTAGCTCTCTATATGAAGCATACAGACTTTATTAGACAAACATTTCACTGAAAATGCACAATACAAAATCTTCCAGCCTAGGGTGAAGTCATTATAAATACGCAGTGGTGTATAAAGTACCTGAAAGCTATACTCAAGTAAAAGTACAGATATCTTACCAGAAAATTACTTTGGTAGAAGTTGAAGTCACCGTTTAGAATATTACTTGAGTAATTCATTCCAACGTAAGAAAACATTTCTGGAATCTGCATATGAAATAGCATTTAGATGTATTTACACAGTTTATGTATCTCAGAGGGGACATGGATGCATTTAAACCATAGACTGTATAAAAACATGGACATAGTGCCCGTGACGTCACCTGTAGAGTTCTGAAGAGAGTTTTTGAAGCTCAAAGTGGGCGGAGCCGGCCATCGCCATCTTGGCCGTGCGTCACTCCCAGATAATCGAAAATGGGCAAAGAGGCGTGAGCAGGTTGCTGAAACCACGCCCACCTAGCTCGACGGTGGTGACAGCAGCAGCAATCCACCTGTCACTCAAGTGGCCACGCCCTTAATTATGCAGAACTTTAAGGCTTAATATAATTTAAACGGGTGAGTTATAAAAAAATTCACCCCCTCACAGTTGTCATGAAAAAATTAGCTATATAGAGCAAAATCATTTTTTGAACCAGGCTGTAAACATGTTTTTTTTCTGCTGTAAAGTTGGGCAATTTAACATGGAGAGTCTATGGGATTGACTCCCTTTTGCAGCCAGTCTCTAGCGGCCAGTTGATGAATTACAGTTTAAGTCACTTCCGTGTTGGCTTCACCAGAGAGACCGGGAGGTTACCGCTTGATTTAAACAGCAGTTACAGATGGATAAATAATGTTTTGTTTTTAACATAAAACGTTGAATACTGATATTTGAAATAATTTAAAACATGAACAAAATAGTCTAAATGTGAAATTAAAACCGCCAGTAGGTGACAGCAAGTGACTGTTAATGAGTGAGTCATTGAGATTCAACCTATTCATTCAAATGACTGATTCATTCAGAAACAAACATTTGACTGTTTTCATGAGTGAATCACTGAATCATTTATTCAACCGATTCGCTCAAAAAGCTGATTCATTCAATAAGTAAACAACGTCCATTGCACAGAGACGCAAAACAGTGCTGTGATCTTTGGAACTATTTTCTTTGGCAAAATTGAGCAAAAACAAGCAATATTATGTCTAAAATGTAAGTCACTTATTGCTTTACTGAACTTGTGTAAAATGATTCTTAAATTTGTTCATGCTGATATTTGCAGAAAAACGGTAGGCTACTCTTTGTGTGATATAGATTAAGTTAACTATATTCAATTATATAAACATAAAAAAGCATACAAAAGCATTTTTGCCATCTACAATTTAGAATGCCTTGAATTTTGAGTTTTAATAGACTAATAAATCACGTGCGTGCACTCTCTGTGATATACTCGATCATTTCAGATCGCACATCATTACAACAACACTTATCATATTATCGCAGACGATGCTGTATCGCACACCCCAGACTCGACTTGAGTGTAAAATTAATCATCCGCAGTTGTGTGCGCAGCCGCGCACTTTTTTGCAGGTGAGCAAAGGTGTTATTAGGAGTCTAACTTGCAAACGGCAGACCACTGATTCGTCAAACCTGCTTTCTTGCAGTCTGTCTTCTTCTGACTATTTTGTAGTAAGTAACAAATATGCTTTGGGGGAAATGTATCGGATTAAAAGTAAACATTTGGGTCAGACTCACATTGTTGGAGGTGCTGCTAATGTTCGAGTTCTCTCAGCCTTGTGGGCAAACACTTCTGTTCTTTCACTACCAATGCAGCATATATTCAACAACTTAATTATTCAATAATATTAACCTTATTATATAAAGTGTTACTCATACATTTTTTTCATTGGTTTCCAATTACAGCTGTATTAAGAGTGGCAGGTGCCATGCAGAAGAGCACAGAGGTCATGAAGGCCATGAACAGCCTGGTTAAAATCCCAGAGATTCAAGCCACCATGACAGAACTCTCAAAAGAGATGATGAAGGTACATACATGAACACTTCTTCTAATATTCTGCAAAGAAACGTCTTGATGAGCACATGTAACATCTCTAACGTGGAGCACTCATACTGCACAGGCGGGAATCATAGAGGAGATGCTGGAGGATACACTGGAAGGGATGGATGATGAGGAGGAAATGGAGGAAGCAGCAGAGGCTGAGGTTGATAAGATCCTCTTTGAGATTACAGCTGGTAAGGAACCACATAACCATCACCCACACTGTAAAAACAAAAATGACCGTAAAAGGCTAAAAATGCTACGGTAAAAACTTGCCCTTACTATATACAGTGAAAACTAAAAAATCCAACAGAACATTTCATGACATTTTACAGTAAAATACTGTTACATTTACAGTTTTGGAAAAGAATATCTTGTCATCTTATAATTCACTGAAAAACCACTGTATAATTCACTGTGACAGCTTGAGAAAGCCAACTTACTGAAATACTATTTAAAATTTAAATTATTATGATTATTTTTCTTACTAAAACTGTTGACTCTAACTCGTCCTAGAGCTTTAACTCTGTAACACCAAACAATCTGACCAAGTGTGCTATATCTTTTCTAACTGATTGGACTTACGGTTTTCATAAAAGTCCCATAGACTTACATTGACGGAATGTTCAAATGAGCCAAGACTATTCAGACTCCAACTATCAAAATTGAAATTTAAACTCCCAGAATCCCTTCCCTTCTATGTAGTACTATTTCTAAGCCATTCAAACTCATTCAAGCTTCCATTCTACCAAATATTTCTAATCTATCTATCTATCTATCTATGTTTTTCTGACACACTATATTGCCTTCAAAACATTCAAACTTTAAGCTTTAAAACTACTTTAAACTATTTCAAACTGAAAACCATCAAACTTTTCAAACCTTCTAGTCTGGCCTTCCCAAGCCAAATTTAAGGTTTGTCTTGACGAACCTTTTTATCTTGTTTAAATAACTGTTTCTTCTTTGTTTACATTATGGTTTTATGTTAAATCTTGTGTTAAATCTTTTGCATTCTTTTTGTGTCGTGTGGCAGTGTAACATGACATGATGCATTTACCTCAGTTTCTGGTAAAGATACTTGTTTTGATTGATGTGGATTATTACCTGCACTGAAAAAAATGGATGGTGAAACTATTTTCACCCAGAAATGACAAGGAAATGGCAGATAACGCATTTAATTAAACAGGAAATTTTATTAAAGAAATATTGAAATAGTATTTTATTGTAAAACATACTCTCGTTTTATTTACAAAAACAAAATCTTTTTTACAGTGAGTGTTTTTGGTGGTTGTCAGTGTATTATAGAGGCACAAAACAGATTTTAGTACTTCAGTAGGTTGGTATATTAACATTATATTAATGAAATATACTTTTTTTTACTGTAAATTTAAGTTCAATTTGTAAAGCCTAATGTGGGCAACCACAGCTGCTGTTTTTTTCCCCCGTAAACCAATTTTTGTGTATAATGTGGAAATGGCCATTTTATCTCACCTCCCCAGCCTTTTCTTATGATGAAAAGTGCTACCGAACAAAACATTTTATCATTATACACTCATAGATATGAACCAAAAATTAAATTATTGCTTTGTTTAATAACAGGTGCACTTGGAAAAGCACCCAGAAAAGTCACAGATGCCCTGCCTGAACCAGTGCCGATTGAAGACATGGCAGCCTCAGAAGTGGAAGAAGAAGAAGAAGATATCGAGGAGATGCATTCCAGGCTAGCAGCGCTGAGAAGCTAAAAGACCTGTGTTTTCCCCTTGAGCTCTATAGGCATAGACAACATATCTTACTTCCTCTGTAGCTTTTCTTACCCATAAAGACACTTTGGTACATTAAATTTAGCACTAAATTCAGACTAATTCTTTTTTTCAGATCCTCAGAGAGTTCATTGCCATGAGGTGCCATGTTGAACTTCCAGTGACCAGTATGAGAGAGTGAGAGCGATAACACCAAATTTAACACACCTGCTCCCCATTCACACCTGAGACCTTGTAACACTAATGAGTCACATGACACTGGGGAGAGAAAATGGCTAATTGGGCCCAATTTGGACATTTTCATTTAGGGGTGTACTCACTTTTGTGGCCAGCGGTTTAGACATTAATGGCTGTGTGTTGAGTTATTTTGAGGGGACAGCAAATTTACACTGTTATACAAGCTGTACACTCACTACTTTACATTGTAGCAAAGTGTCATTTCTTCAGTGTTGTCACATGAAAAGATATAATAAAATATTTACAAAAATGTGAGGGGTGTACTGACTTCTGTGAGATACTCTATATCTTTGTATGTTATTAATTATGAGGTTTTTTTTTTACTATGCTTTTGCTTTTATATGACTGAAATGCTTACGAAACAGATGTTTTCCCCTAATGAAGTAAATGGCTGACAATTTATGAAATAGTTTCTTCAACCATGTTATATTTTAAGTTGGATATTTGAATATTGGTCAGCTGTCAGTTTGCTATAATTCTAATATGTCTACTCTCCATATGAAACAACTCCTCTTTGTGCATCGTGGCTTCATAATTAGTTTTGGCATGACCAATTTAGTATGGCATGACCCATTAATATCTGCTTATTTGGCATAGATTGTGCACTCTGGAGTGACAAGTGCATGGATTTTGTACAGATCCAGGCTCAGTATGTTGACTCGTTTATAATCTTCTGAATGAACCAAATTGCAGGGCTCCAGACTGCGACCAAATAGTCGCATTTTACGACCATTTTTTCTGCCTGTGCGACTGATTTTTGTGAGCAGTCCAATTCACAAGCACTGCCATTTCTGTTGCATTTGAGAAACATCAAACGGCAAGCAAAACGAAAGCGAAACTAAACCGCGCTACGTTTCAGCTGCGCAGCTCGGACCGCGACGCAAACAGACTTGTCCGAGCTCAGAACAGCTTTACGCATACGCAGTAACGCTAACTAAACCATGGTGTTGCGGTAGAAATAGTCGAATGCATTACATCATTCATGCAACCTTTTGAGAGAGAAATTCAAGCACTTTTCAATGACTTTCAAGCATTTCACAACTATTTCCAGCACTGTTTAAGCTCTAAAATGATCCAGTTTGAATGTTATTTTTAATGGGATGACCAAAATATACTTTGTGGTAAACAAACACTTATGTAAAATAAAATAAAAAATTACATCAAATCACAATTATAACCTGTAGAGGGCAGCAGAGGAGCACTTATTGGCTTATTAGTCATTAATTTCTACTTTTTCTCTATAAAATATCAAATCATCAAGAAATCTGATTTTGTCAGAATTTTACACTTTTTTTGTGTATGAAATAAGAAAAGTCACCTTCAAGTGCCTTGAAAAACAAACTTTTCTTCAATTTGCTACTAAATCACACATAATCACTGAAGTTGGTCAGTTCCATATACTAGAAGAATAATGGTACATTTAATAAGAGTGGAATATATACATTTTCTATATAAAAATGTGATTTTGCACCTGTTACTGTTGTTAATACAAGTACATTTTGCGTGCATCTTAACTCAAGCTTAGTGCTTTACTGTCAAATCTGTATAAACAATAAACAAAAGAAAAATAAACAAGAAATGAACATGTAATATTATTAGTAACTGCACTTATTAATGCAAAACAATAGTAATTTTATGATTAAATGATCTATATTTTCATACTCCCGCACACCACCCCCAGCGTTACCAGATCTGCTCCTGGCGCCACCATCTGTAGAACTTAGTGGCGCTGGTGCCACTCCTCTCAAATGTTAGTCTGGAGCCCTGCGTTGATTATTTTGTTTCATTTCAGACCTTTGCTGTTGTAGAAAAACATTCACATCTGCACAAAACTGTGTTTTGTATATTAGAAAAATATGTTGATAACACCAATAAAATTTTACAGGCAAAAAGTACATTTCACAACCCCAGATACAGATCCCCTGTAAAGACCTTGTCTCAGACGACCACCGGGACAAGACCACAGGAACCAGATGAGTCCTCTGCACAATGTGACTTTGCTGCAGCCTGGAATTGAACTGCTGGTTTTGTCTGGTCAGAAGAGAACTGGCCCCCCGGCTGAGCCTGGTTTCTCCCAAGGTTTTTTCTCCATTCTGTCACTGATGGAGTTTTGGTTCCTTACCGCTGTCGCCTCTGGCTTGCTTAGTTGGGGACACTTCATTTCCAGCGTTATCGTTATCTATGATTGCAAAGATATTATTTAAACTGAGCTGGATGTTGACATCACTGAATTCAATGATGAACTGTCTTTAACTGAAAAATGAGTGTTTATTATTGTCACTTTGCATTATTGACACACTATTTTCCTAATTAATGCTGTTCAGTTGCTTTGACACAATCTGTATTGTTAAAAGCGCTATATAAATAAAGGTGACTTGACTTGATGAAACCGATGTTCTAATATAATCTGTTAAAATCTCGTACAAGTCATAATTTACTCTATAGCATAGGGGTTTTACAGTAATATATCTCGTTGACTGTATTATTATCTGCTGCTTAAGCACGGTCTTTTGGGATTCTCAGAGGGTTATTTTACTTACCTCAGTCTCTCTCTCCTTTTGACTCGCTCTCTGTCCAGCTTTGTGAAGGAAACCTGATCTTCTGAGTGTCTTTTGACTCTGAATCTAGGTTACGTGCTCTGTTTATTTCCCAAAGACAGCGTGTCTGAGTTTAAATAAGTGCGTTTAGAGTATTACAACCTCAGATTGGGTAGGTACGAGTATGATTCAGCCGGAATGCTTTTGCAGCTTGTTGTCATAAGACTATTTAAAAAAAAATTCTGTACAGTTTTGGTGTCGGGCAGAAATCTTACGAGTCCTACACAGGCAGCATGTTTGGGCATCATGTGACATGAGATGTCTACCTTACCAGCATTTGAGGCTCGCTAGGTTTTCAAACCCATACAATTATTTATGGGTCGTATATTATTTTTGTCCGTTATGTTTGTTCTTTTTGTCCATTATCTGTAACCCACATGTTCAGAGCAGAGCGCCTGCGCGGACGCGTCTGTCAAACGATAAATGCCGACACCAGACTCGAAGGAAACTCCTCCCTGTCGACAACACGCCGCTCTCATAGCGCAATGGTCTCCTGGATTATTTCTAGGCTTGTGGTGTAAGTCTTTATTCTGCTCTTGTAAAGCATTTTTATTGGGATGCATGAAAATTCAATGCGTAATCTTTATATGAATATGTTGTTTTTCAGCTTTTTTATTAATGCGAAAACGCAAGGGTTTCTAGGGCACCTCTTAATTCTAGACAGAATGAAATCACATATGGTTATGCATCAGGTCCGATTCGTTCTGGTTAGTCTTCAGATTATTTTGTGTACATGTTGAAAGGCTATTACAAAGGTTACCTTAGGTTACTGTACACTTGCAAGCTAATGGATATTGATGGTTCTCCAGAATAAGAATCTGACACCAGTGACACGGTGAATTATGCAGGATATGAAACAATTTTAGCTCAGCTTTTGAAGCAGTTCATATTATGTAACAGTTTTACATCATTTATTGGAAATGCACAATAGGGTGTTAATATTGAGTCATTGCTTGGAGTCGTGTAGGTACACTCTAAAAATGCTGGGTTAAATACAACCCAGTGTTGGGTAAAATAGGGACAAACCCAGCAGTCAGGTTGTTTTGACCCAGCGGTTGGATTAAATGTTTAACCCAACCTTCTGGCTAGTAACCCAACCGCCGGGTCAAAACAGCCCAACTGCTTGTCCATATTATACCCAGCACTAGGTTGTATTTAACCCAGCATTGTTTCGAGTGTACAGTAGAGCAAGTCTTTGATGTGTCATAAAGAAAGACAATGGGATGATCAACCCGCTGATGGTCACTGATGTGTTTTCCAGTATTTGGTTTATTGTCGCGAATTATGTTTAAATGGCGTATTCTTTTCCGTGCGCGTTCTGATGTATTCCACGTAAATGTCTTAGTTTTGTTTAATGCTTCAGTCAGTCCTCTATGCTAAGCGCGCAAAATCTCTAAATAGCCGTCCGATTCATCTTAGATCACAATATCCGATGACATTGCACATATGCCAACACTTGTGCTGTAAACTAGCTGTGTGAAGAGTCTAAAATTAGACAACAAACCGGTATTTTTGCTTGGCGTGCCCTAGATAGTGTGCAGTGGGCTCTACTTGGTCGGAAATGTTTAGTTTTGAGGGTCCCTGACGGTGACTGGGTGACTCTGGACTCGGTTTGTGGGTCGGTCATTTGATCGGGTCAGAAGCGCAGCTGTTACAGGGCTGGGACTGAGAAAGAGAGGACACTGAAATAGTGCTAAACTGAAATACTTAAACACAGGTGCAGGGCACTTCTTTTGGTTTTTTGGTTACTTTCCAATCACCCATTTAATCTATAGTGTCAGCAGTGTTCCGTCACATTTGCTTCTGATCTTTCTTTGCGCCCTCGGTCTATTTTTATCAAGCATGCAGAATGCAAACCTGTGCAGATATGTCGCCTGTTTACGTGATACAGTGGCTTTACAATAGGCAAGAACTGGAAGAATAATATTCTGGGCCTACTAAAGGGCAGTTATCTCAAATTTCTATAATGGAAAGGGAGTGGAGCGGTTTCCTTTCAGGGAAGTGGTGGGCCTAGATGGAAATAATTAGTGGGCATTTTTATGTAATTTTGTAATACTGAAATCATATAATACTTGACATTAATTTCTGTGACAAATAAACCCTACACTCTAAAAAATGCTGGGTTAAATACAACCCAGTGCTGGGTAAAATAGGGACAAACCCAGCAATTGGGTTGTTTTGACCCAGCGGTTGGGTTACTACCCAGAAGGTTGGGTTAAACATTTAATCCAACCGCTGGGTCAAAACAGCCCAATTGCTGGGTTTGTCCCTATTTTACCCAGCAGTGGCTTGTATTTAACCCAGCATTTTTTTAGAGTGTACATAACCTTAACTGTTTTCTGAAGAGATTTGAGTACATGCACAGATGAGGTAGTACAAAGCATTTTGCTGAATTTTGTGGTAGGGGAGACTGGGATTACTTGTTTTTATTCCAGTGAATATTTTCTCAAAATACGTGTCTTATTGAATGTCAATAAACCACTGTTATTGGCCAGGGGGGAAAAAATAGATCAGTTAAATCACATGTGTTAATTTAAATCACATTCTATAGCAGGACAAGTGGGGTATACACTATTTGGGGTAAGTTGTCGCATGGAACTATTTATTGACACAAAACTTTGCATTTTATATTTCAAGTGAAACGTGAAAAAAATACTTAAATGTCTTCATGAGCTATTTTTAGAGTATTTAGAGTACTTCTATTTATTGACTTATTACATAACTATGAAACATAATAATTCACGAAACAACAAAAAAGGCAACATCGTATTGTTTTGCCAACAGAAATTATAATTAATGAAATAAAATGAGATACTTTAAAATACAACAAATAAAACCCATGTCAAATACACTTGTACACTTGTCCTATTCTGTTTGTTTTCCACTTATTTATCTTAAGCATGATTGTTGCATTTCTTACAGGCTCATATTTGGTACCCTTTACCCGGCATACTCCTCATATAAAGCTGTTAAATCGAAAGATGTGAGAGAATATGTAAGTACAGCTCTGATATATTTTCATCAGTTGAGCTTAATGACTTCATGTTTATTTGCCTGCTGGTTCCATAAACTTACTATTCTGCTCATTTTAAACAGGTGAAATGGATGATGTACTGGATAATATTTGCACTTTTTACTACAGTTGAAGTGATTACTGATATATTTTTGTGCTGGTGAGTACAGTGTGCCATTGCTTTTGTCATATCCTTTTGTTAGGAATTACTCATATTTTTATTTCTGCTGATGCATATGACGATTTGACATTGGCGGTAACCAGCTTGACACATGAGTGTATGATTGTCTTTTATTGTCTTTTGAAGGCTCCCATTCTACTATGAACTCAAAATTGCCTTTGTGGTGTGGTTACTTTCCCCATACACAAAGGGATCCAGTGTTTTATATAGAAAATTTGTCCACCCTACACTGTCCTCTAAGGAAAAGGTACAGTATTTGATGTGATCTGTTCACTGTTCATTTTTATGTTTCCGTTCTGTTGAACAATTTTTTTTACCCTGTCTAGGTTAAAAAAAATTCTAATGAAATCAAATTATATATTTAAATGAAATTATATATAAAATGATATACAGAACTTTCTCTAATACACAGACTAATAAATATTCTAATATTCTAAATGTTAAACAAACTAGCAAGCATCATCCTTATCAGCTGTCGAGAATCTCAACTTTCCAGTGTTTTTAATGCTAAGAAACTGAATTGTTGGTATTGAGGAGGAAGTACATTTGACTTCTTTTCCTGTAAGCTTTTTGAGTTGATTTCCCTGGTTGACAGAGGATGAGCGGTGGTGGAGGAAATGGTACTGTTATTTTCCACAGTCTTTGCTCTGCTCTTTATTCTTGGGGCAGGAAATTCGTCAGAAGGACAAACTAAGGGCAAATGGAATTGACAAATACCACTGATAACAAAGAGAAAATGAAAACTATTCAAATTTTCTTTTACTCATAGAAAGTGAAAAGTGGTGCTGATCACAAAGTATACAATGGAATGAAACAGTACCATTCTTCATACAACTGATGTGAAATGTTCTTTATGACTCTTTCTTAGGACATCGATGAATACCTTTGCCAAGCAAAAGATAAAAGCTACGACACCCTGGTGCATTTTGGAAGGAAAGGCCTGAATGTGGCAGCAACAGCTGCTGTAATGGCTGCCACAAAGGTAGTAATCTAATACCCTGCGTCCCAATGTTCATACTATCCATGTGTCCCAAAGCATAGTATGTTGAAAAGAGTATGTCAAAAGTAGATGGTCTACTATTTCAGGTAGATTTTTGAAGTGTGGCTCCATGCACACTCTAATGGCTAATATTACGCACAATCCATTGCGCTTAAAGACCTACTTCTGGCAGATAAACGTGCTACTTCTTTTCTCTCCAATACGATAGGAAGTTAAAGGGGTCATATGATGTTGCTAAAAAGAACATTATGTTGTGTATTTGGTGTAATGCAATGTTTATGCGGTTTCAGGTTAAAAAAACACATTATTTTCCACATACTGTACATTATTGTTGCTCCTCTATGCCCTGCCTTTCTGAAACGCGTCAATTTTTACAAAGCTCATCGGTCTGAAAAGCGAGGTGTGCTCTGATTGGCCAGCTATCCAGTTCGTTGTGATTGGCCGAATACCTCAAGCGTGTGACGAAAATATTACGCCCCTACCATACTGTTGATGCAGTGTCCGGCCGGAGCGACGAGACAAAAACATTATAACCCAATATAAATGAGGCATTTGTTGCATCCAGTGGGGACATAATTACGGATTAGAATGACTTATACTGTCTTTTTACGTGCTGCGTTGCATCGCGCCGCATAAACATAAAACCATGTCTGCATTTATGATCGGAGAAATGACAAACAACAAGCGCTACTCTACACTGCTTAAAACTCGCGTTTGACTCGTCAGTGGCAAATTCTTTAAATATAAAAAATGTACTTACAGGCTGTGAGTCAGAAGCGCCAGACTGTCTTTGCAAAGTTGGAACTGCCGCACTTTATAGAACAGCCTTTGAGCTCAGACCCATTGTAGGCTACTCTGCAGGTTCAGGAAACAGTCCTCCATAAAATGCGTCACACACTGCGGGCTAGAGTGAGGAACAGCCGGCAGACATGAGAACGGCTCGGCCGGAGGGCTTGCGGCAACCACATGTGATGACCCCGGGCTGGACTCCGCTTCGTCCACGGTGAAAGCCAATCCGGCGATCGACAACGCGAAGTTGTTGTATTTCCTCAGCGACCAGCACGGATCAACTCTAGGCATGACGAAGCGATATCGTCCTCTTTTGGAAGACCAAACAAAGTATTTTCGCTTTCACAACAAAACACACAGCGCCTTCACGACATGGTGGCGGCAACAACAAAACTACAGCGAGAATAAAAGTTACGCCTTCTTTCTTTGCGTGAACATTTGGGCGGCGTTATGCAAATCTTCCCACATAGTGATGTAGACATGTGGGGGCGTGTTAGAACGAGCCGTTTTAGGTAGGCGTGGCTGACTCTTAACTTTTATAAAGAATATCTCTTTGGATTTGAGACTTTAGTCTTTGCAACTTTACAGATCTTCTCTATGCACCAAGAGCTTGTAACACTCCAAAGAGAAAGGACCAATTGAAATCGCATCATATGACCCCTTTAAAGCTCTTGAAGATTTTTTTTTTCACTCTGTTACCAAAATTACCAAAATCTGCAAATAGATTTCAGTGATTTTATTTTTATCTAGCAATAAACAATAAATAAACATATGTGCATGCATAAATAAATTACAAACAAGCAAATAAAATTTATAACAAAAAAACTATTTTAAACTAAAAATAATTTAAAACAAAGTTATGAGTTTAATCGTTTAGGCTAGATATGTTAGATAATAGTGTATCCAATAGTTCAAACTCCAAAGAACATGGGATTTATAGCTTAAAAATATAATTTTGATATATCACTTTTGGGTGTAATTTAACGTATCCCATATTGACTGGTTTTAGTTTATTTTAGATAATATGTGTTTCTTTTGAAGTTAATATTTACTATATTTATGCCTTATTATTATTTAAGCAGACTGCATAAACAAAACATACTTCCACATCTTCAGGCTGATTTTGTATAAACAAAGCAGATTGTTGATGATAGTCTAAAACACAGCATAAATCAAGACAGTATTTAGACCATCTTAAAGAGTTCCATCTGACTCCATGTTCTCGATCCAGGGCCAGGGTGTTCTCTCCGAGCGACTCCGCAGTTTCAGCATGCAGGACCTGTCATCTTTCCAGGAAGAGGGCCAGGCAAAGAATTCAAGTTCTGTAACTACTCAACCTGCAGCCGCACAGCACAGAACATGCACTATGATGCGCAGCAAATCAGAGGCTGGTTACAGCAAGGGTAAGCAAAGCCAAGCCAAATGATCAGTGCTGTATTTCTCTTAACCCTTTGAACAAGATCCTACTATCAGCCAATCGGATTTCTGCTAATCGTGTTTGGTTTAGCTGCTTCTCTCAATCATCCCTTACATGTAATTAATCCTTAACTTGAGTGTTGTAGCCCTGCCAATGTCCTGGGTAAATGTTTGATTAGGAAATTGTTTATTATTGTCTAGTCTTTACCTATTTTTATTGTGCATTACAGTCAAAGGATCATAGAGAAGCATTTATTTCTCTTAAAGGATAGTTCACTCAAAAAAAGAAAATTCTGT